ATATATCATTTTAGAAATTTTTACAGTTGTATAGTAAATACACTATATCGTTTTTTTTTTTCTTCAAATGTGATATGATTTTTTTGTGATTAATGATTTTGATCAAGTTACAGGCTTTTGCTGGAGATCCATTATGAGCTGCTGTTTGTGTGAACTGAAGAAATGCACTTTCTGCTTTGTGATTATTAAGCATGATTCGAGAAACGTACCAAGGCAACTGAGAATATTATGATTCCTGCATGGATTCAGTCTTTCTCAGACAGTATTCTGTGGAAACTCACTTCTCCTGAGTCTCTCCTGATTTGATGAGGATCCTCCACACGCTGAGCTCCACGTCCTGATCAGAGCCATTCCAGCTCATGATGTTCCTGACGCGCCTCATCCAGCTGGACCAGACCAGTTCACCCTTCCAGACCAGCCTGACGGAGCTGAGCCGGCCCAAATCAGACGATACCACCAGCAGAGACGTGAAGGACTTCAGACTGCCGCTCTCCTGATGCCTGCAGACAGTGAGAGCTTCATGATGATTCACTTCACACACACACACACTGGTTTGTTTTTGTGAAAAGTGGGGACTCTCCATAGGCGTAATGGTTTTTATACTGTACAGACCGTATATTCTATTGCCCTACACCAACCCTACCCCTAAACCTACCCCTTACAGGAAACTTTGTGCTATTTCAGATTTTCAATACACTCCATTCTGTGTGATTTATAAGCGTTTTGAAAAGTGGGGACATGGGGTAATGTCCTGAAAAGTCACCTTCTCCTTGTAATACCTGTCATACCTTTGTCATTATACAAATGTATGTCCTCATTCGTCACAAAATCGCGCACACTCTCTCACACACACACACACACACACTCACACACACCACACTCACACACACACACACACACACTCACTCACTCACACTCACACACACTCACTCACACACACACACTCACTCATTCACACACACACACACTCATGCAGTGCCTGCACAAAAATTGAATGAATACAATATTTTTGTATTATGAATGAAATTCATAATACAAAAATAAAACAATGCAAATATTACAAAATATGATTGGATATGACTGGTTATGTTCGGCTGTGATTGGTTCATGTGATAAATCCCGCCTCTTGTGTTTGTGCGAAATTCTGCATTGCGAATCAGTCTGAATGAACAATTTAAAGGCATTAATGGGAAAGATTAATTTTAAAAAAGTAAGTAAACAACTCACACACTTACATATAATATTCCAGGGATTTTTGGAAAGTTTCTGGAAATGTTCCACCCCTTTGCAACCCTAGTCTGAATGAACAATCTAATGGCGCTAATGGGAAGACTAATTAAAAAAGTAAACAACTCGCATACTTGGATATAACCACTTTGTCAAGTCAAAATCAAACTTCAAATGGCCTGAAAACATGATCAGTGGGGTTATCAGCTTGTTGAAATTAAAGGTACATCTCCGCATCTCTGAACAGTGTTTACCGAGCTCTGATGATCCGAAAATAAGCTTATGATGAAAAAGAACATAAATAAAATATATAATTGTTTAAATAAAATACATTGTTTAAATTGTTACTGCCTTGAGTTATTATTTTGGAATAAATGTAAAATGCTTAAAAACACTAAACCTAGATTTATACTTGGTTTTAATTAATAGAATAGTCCATTAATTACATTGTTAATGTAAAAATACAAAATAGATTTTTATTCTGGTAGTGTAAGTAATGTAACCAAGATAATGTGACTGGGACATGAATTTACACTTAAGTAAACAAAAATGTGAGGACTTTGGCTCCTCATTTCAGAACACCACTGATAGATAGATAGATAGATAGATAGATAGATAGATAGATAGATAGATAGATAGATAGATAGATAGATTTTTGGAATATTCCAGGGATTTTTGGAAAGTTTCTGGAAATGTTCCACCCCTTTGCAACCCTAGTCTGAATGAACAATCTAATGGCGCTAATGGGAAGACTAATTAAAAAAGTAAACAACTCGCATACTTGGATATAACCACTTTGTCAAGTCAAAATCAAACTTCAAATGGCCTGAAAACATGATCAGTGGGGTTATCAGCTTGTTGAAATTAAAGGTACATCTCCGCATCTCTGAACAGTGTTTACCGAGCTCTGATGATCCGAAAATAAGCTTATGATGAAAAAGAACATAAATAAAATATATAATTGTTTAAATAAAATACATTGTTTAAATTGTTACTGCCTTGAGTTATTATTTTGGAATAAATGTAAAATGCTTAAAAACACTAAACCTAGATTTATACTTGGTTTTAATTAATAGAATAGTCCATTAATTACATTGTTAATGTAAAAATACAAAATAGATTTTTATT